AAAAATTAATCCTATTGGTATTACAGATGCCTTCATCATGAGAATAAGTATCACCCTTCAATATTTGAAAGAAATAAAAAATAAACAAAAAAACACTATGATTATGGCAGCATATTCAGACTTTTTGACATCATAGTGCTTCTTTTATGTGGTGATTACAGAAAACTAATGTTTTCAAGGATGTCTCAATTTCCATGCGATTGTATAACATTGGTCATACAATGATGGTTATGTTGTAGATATATTAAAAACATAGTTGTCAATATTTATGATAAGTATGGTACAGAATAAAATCACCATTAAATAGTTTCATTTGGGCAGAAATAAATGAATTAGAAAAATGTATATGAATATTAATAGAAAGAAGAAATAATGGGTGTGGTCCCATTCAGATGATTGAAAAAGAGGGCGTTCTGGTTCGACTTAGAGGTAATTGGCATTGTCAATATATTAGATCACATTTGCATGTCGACCAGACAATAAAGCAACTTGATGACATCATGCCACGAGACAACTACCAAATATGGATCATTCTTGGCGACTTTCCCAGTTGTCATAGAAACCCAGGCAGCATTTACTACTGATGCAGTTTAGGATTAATATTATCATATACCAACAAAATCGCTTTGCTGATACCCACACATGTCACTCATTTGTTTTCTAAAATTGTTTGGATTTCATTCCATCTTTGATAGAGGAAAAGTGAAAAAAGATGCAGAGTGTGAAAAGTTTTATAGACGTGTAAACAATTTAAAAAGATAAATTGTGAGGCCTTATTTCATGGATGATAGACGGTTCACTTAGAGCATAAAATAAAGACATTTACCTGATCTGGAATCAATGATCCATTCAATAATCTATATCGTCTAGTTATGTTGTTGTCACTCACTTGGCTGTTAATACAGTGGTGTATTTAAGTGTTTGATTGAAAGTAATAATTTTGTATTTCACTACTTTCTTATTACGGTAATAACTATAATTGTGTGTTTGGCAATGAAAATGTGAGAATGTTTTCTACTTGTTTGTTATGATAAATATTGTTTTTAATACTATATCAAGAAAACTTTGATAAGATTGTATGTTTGTTTGGGAGGTCTGAGAAGTTATTATAATGAGACAGGTGGCAACAAAACCCATTTTCCTTATTTTTCTAAACATTTTGATTGAAACTTGCAGGTACTAGCAATTAATGTCCATTTGGTTTAAAATTAACAAAGAAATTAAATAAAAATTAATAAAAATATGCAAAATGTTGCACAATATTTTGGTGAGTAAAATTGTGTTAATTTGGATATCAACTGATAATTAAACAAAGAATGCTAACTATTCCCTTACAGCAGTAATACTATAATTTAGGGGATAGCAATTAAAAAAAGAACTTGGGAAATGGAATTATAAAATTAAAATGTATATTGCACTAGCAATTTAAAGAAATAATACAGAAAGTGGTCGACGGGGCAGATGCTATCATGAGATCTATTGAAAGCAGCACAGTTGTAAATAAGAAAGAGGATAGTTTGTTAAAACCATTCAGGAGAGTTACTCTTAGAAAACCAGTCACCCTCTTCCTATTAGAGGGCAAACTAACAATTATTGGCAGTGGTAGCTAACCTGTTGTAGTTCTATTAGGACATGTTACTAGTAGTGTTCATATCATTGCCTACTTAACCTCTATATTATTGAGGAATAAACCTCTGATCTTTTTCTTGTTGCCATACTGTGTGAAGTTCCTATCTATGCTAGTATACATGAACAAAAAATGGCTTTCAAACTTTTTTTCTTTGAAGACGTGTTTAACAGGCATGCAGTGGATAGAAGAGCTTGTCGGCTCTTCCATTAAGCATTCAAGCTAGAGATTTATGCTAACTCTTCAGGTGTCTATTAATAGTTATTCCAACCTGACAACGACAACGAGTGATGGAATAGTTATTGTCGAATCACTCAGTTTGCAGCCTCTAGATGGCAGTAGACTGGGCTTGAAAAAGAAAATTCATTATCAGTTTTAATCTGGAATGGTGAAATGTATGATGGGAGGTCATGTCAAAAGTGGGCATGGTCTGAAAGTCCATGTATGTGTCTGTCAATAACACTGATGTCATGCCTATTTTTACCCTGATGTTTGGGCTTTTCCAAAGCACAATGAGATTTGAGCTATTTCCATATTCTTTGTCTAGGCAGGCTGTACTCAGTGTGTATAGTCATTCTCTTTGATTTGTGTGACTAACTTGTAATCAGAATCTCAAACTATTATGCTGGACTTTGCAGGTATTTATACCTTAACTTAGTGTTAGAGTGTGGTTTTCATGTCTTCAAGATATTTTTTTGTTTATCTATGGTGGTTTGTGATGCATGAAGACTGCTGTTCAAAAACCATAGTGTTCATTCAGTACTGCCCCCCCCCCCTAAGTCATTGTTTGTTTTTATATGTGAACAGATTTATTCTGTGTGTCAGTCAGCTGTTTTATTGGTAGCTTGTATATACATAGAAATCCTGTTCATGAGTTTTAAATTGTCAAGGCAACACTTTCAGATCACCCTGGCGAGTTGTTTTCATACAGGCTCGCATATAATTACTAAGATCATGTTGTAACATGCATCAGTGGCATATTTTAAAGGTCATTGTAAATTTTGTTTCTGTGTGTCTTTCTGAGTAAGATTTGGTATAAGTCAGAATGTATGTGATGTTTCTATTTATGTCTCTGGCAGTCACTTGGTGCATGTCTCTGTTTACTTTTTACTGTGTGCAGTATGCAACATTGAAATTCCTATTAATATACATGTACCTAATGGCTTTATTTATAAATGTAAGGTCAGGCTAACCTTGTACTCTGCATGACCTAGCCTAAGACATTACTGCATTTTTTTCAATAAAGACAATGCTTATAAAATTTGCACCATAAGGTGTGCATAAAATAATAATTAAAATATGTAAATTTTATGAAATAATTAATACCAGACTAAATGAATTGAACACATGCTGTCCTGCTGTCAGTGACAGTTCATTCATTTGGAATATCCATGTAGCTTTCAGCAGGTGATTTGTTAAAATAAAAATAATGGTAAAAAAATCTATAAAACTGATCAGAATCATTCTATCGATGAAAACGATAATAAATATGTATTTATCCATGTACATTTGACTGAAACTAATGTTAATCACCTTTTGTGCCCTGTAACATGGATATGTAATTATTACATATAACCTAACTTGGCAGTTTCAAAATAGTTTAAATTTAGTGATGTTTTCTCCATTTCTCAATTGAATAAATAAATTATAAATTTCATCCACTTCTAATACTTGTCGAATGGTGTGCTTGCGGCTATTTAAAAATGATCCCTTTGGAAATTATTGCTCCAAATTGAGTCATATTATTTGCTATGAATATTATATTGGTACTGGTGCACTGTTGACATCTCCTCAACATGCTAGACCGTGACAAGTTTGAAATAAATGTATGTTAGTGTTTCCATGGTGATGTTGAGTCTCATTTATTACTTGAACGCAGCTGCAGCAGCATTTTTGTTTTGCCGAGGCAAATTCGTTTGTCTGCTATTGAATTAGACAGTGTCACTTATTTTTATTCTCTGAAAATGTTTCAATAATTGGTATAATATCATCTAGATTAATTTACATAATTATTATTAATGATTGCATCATAGACTGATATGTCATGTCTAGTCATCTAGTATTAAATAGAATGCTGAATCATTTCGATGATGACCATGACTTCTTGTGAAACTTGTGAATAAATGGATTGGAATTCAGTATGTCTGTTGGTTTGTTGACTTTGCTTTGCTGTAATGTTTTTTTCCATTTGTTGACGAAGTACATCTAGTTAATAATTTTAATTGTTTGTTCCATGGTTGTACTTTACCCTGCAGGATGGTGTTTGCAACACCTTTTGTGTTTCTCACCTTACAACAATTATAGCTGTCACAGAGTGGTACCCAAGGCTATAAACTGTCAAGGATGGCCAGCAGGGTTTCTAAACATTATATTGTGCTTAACTTAACTAATAATTAATTTCCATTCTTTTTTTGTCTCACAACAGATTAATAGAATGAACGAAAGTTCAGTGGAGGTCACACACAACAAACAAGCAAGTGCAGTTGGTAATTTACTTAGTGTGAGTGAAGACAAAGCAAGTAGCGTCGGATATAATCGGTATAAGTACACCACCATGCAGGAAAGTAACCCGCAAATGGCCAGCATTCCTGAAGACGGCACACATTCCAATAGATTTCCCGACAATATGGCAGTTCCTGTCGTTACCTCAGCTCCCATCTCCATCCCAGCGCCTGTTACACGAAACTGCAGCACATTCGATGGGATGTCAGCCTCGCCAGCATTTAGTCAGGGGTCGTTTATGATTCGGCGCTTCTCGTCACCATCACTGAGCAGTATGTGTTACAAATGTGAAAGAAGTCCAATATCATGCCACACAGTATCAACACAGACACCTCATGCAGATAGTCACCTTAATGTTGATGATAGGGATAACAACAGTGATGAAGATCTTGATTGTGACCTTGACGTCGGTGAAGATGATGATGATGATGATGATGATGATGATGATGATGTTTTACTTCCTAACGTTCCAGGTATGTATAGATAGTATTAGTTTTCACAAATGTTTAGTTTTCTCATTTTGTGAATTGAAATATGTACTATATTTTTCGTATTTCATCAAAAAAGTGGTACAAAAACTAGAAAATATTTTGATAATATTTTCTGAACAATACTTCTTCACAGTAAGCAGAGATATACAACAACTCAGTTTTATATTCCATAATTTCCTTCCATTAAAGGTGAATATTAAATGTTGGTGGTTTGTTGTTAATTGGCTGTTTATGCGTGTATGTTGGACTCAGCATGAGTACTTAAATCTGTAATTGTGTAAAGAGTGTATAAGTGTACTGTAAAATTAAACTTTGACTAAATTTGTATTTGTGAATATAAAGTTGTATTTGTAAATATATGTTTAACTCTAATTAGTTCTCATTTGAATATTTGCTATGGGTATGGTATGAGGAATTGTATCAGTAAAATTACCTAATATGGCATGTATATTTATTTTAATATACAGGCAATTTAATATAATATACTGGTAATAATATAATAATTGTTTATTCAAAGCTTAATAATGCAATGTTGAAGAACTCCAAAATATTAGGAGTCAGTTTACACAGTTTACAACACATGCTGGCAAGAAATGTTCAGTAAAATAATTAATTAATCAATTAATTAATTAATGCAGGTAATTATAATTACAAATTGTGTCGTATGCATAGTAACAAAAAAAAGGAGGAATCAGTAAAATATAGTCAGGATCATTCAGTAGTGGACATTGAGGAAGAAAGTATCCTTGAAAAAAAAATGACCCTCCGACCCCTTCTAGTGTTATTTATTACTTAATCAATATCTTGGAATGAGCACGATATGTGGTGTTGGATTTAGCTCTTCAATCCCTGCAGGCTTTCTGTGACTGTTATGTTTTAGACAACCATGAATCAATACGGTTTAGTCTATCGACTGTCACTCATTTTTTATTTGTTAGCAAGTATAATAATGTCACTAGACTATTCAAATAATCCTGATGTGGTTCACCAAATTGGCACAATTCAAGGTATACCCCGGTACTCATCAAACTGGTTTCGTGTGATTTATTGTGTTTAGAGTACTTTTATCTATGAAAATAAAATATAGTTTCTTGATATGATTGTACTGATTTCTTGGAGCTATTATATTCTTTAGCTTCTATTTGAGTCCCCAGAGACTGGAATACACAGTTTATGCAGAGAAAAAAATGTATTTTTATTATGCATGTTTTCCATATGCTTATTAATGTGCAGTTCTGTATTGAGAATTCATGTAATAATCAAATAATCACTGAACATGATACTGGGAATAAATGATTCAGTGTCCAAATAGTACAGTATCAAGTCAAGTAATAAGATTATGGATAGTACTTAATCAACTTTTGTCCATTTTACTGGAAACAAAAAAATAAAGTAAACATCCCCTTGAGAAATTACAAAATATTACAAAAACAATATATTAAAATGTGCACTAAATTCTTGGCAGATAAAATGATAGTATTTACATAGTATTTACTTTAAACAAAACAACCCAACCAGAAGTATAGCAATATAGCTCAGTTTTTTGCAAAACAAAACAAAATAGCAATAATGATATCAGCTTACCATCACAAAATGTTAAATTTGAACCCATGAGCTTTACTGCAATACTGCTGGTTGGGTTGCTGGTTTGTTCGCATTGGGATATAGAACTGGCAATAATACACTTTGTGTTTGATTTCTAATGTTTGAGTCCTATAAATACACACTGGTATTAAATAACAATGAAAAAGTGTTAGTATCAGTGTGACTGACCAACTACAGCTTTAGTGAGTTATGAGATTTGAGAAATTATGGGACTCGCATACATCAAGATCTGTATCAGATAGCAAGTTATGTCCATCTGATCTAATGATGCAGAAATTGTACAAAAATGCATAAAAAGGTGCAGGATGTTATCATCATTGTCAAATTCTAAAATTCTCTTGTTTCATGCCATTTTTGTTCATTGCTCATAAACTCTATTTTGGGATATTTGAAGCATAAAATTTTGACACTTTCTGTCAAAAATTACGCTATGAATTGAAAAGTGGAACCAAATTGTGGCTGTCAAGTTCCAGTAGTGAACAGGTTAATAGTCTATGTGTTATCAAGTGTAAACAACTCACGACTTTTAAACAATATTATTAAATTGTATTATTGCCTCCTACCTAATTAAAAATCATATGTGGCCAATATCTCATTGGACAATTTTTGTTTTAAAGTAATAATAATCTGTGTATAATTAAATTTAAAAATGTTGTGGATAGTATTATTTTAAGTACAAGAAATAATACAGTGCTGTTATTATTTTATTTGTCATTTATTTTATGGTACCATCCATGCAGGAAAATGTCAAAAAAATGTAGTGTTTTTAAAATTTATTCTTTATTGATGTATGATAATAGAAGCTGTGACTCCCTGTCAAATTTTCACTGCTACAAAATTACATGTTTTTTTCTGACTAACATGTTTTTTCGAATTTTAAATTAATACAGTTTACTGTTGCATTCAAATATAAATTAAATGATCTATTGTTGCATAGAGTCAAAATGTACAAGGATTCGGGAACATGTTTTCAATAATTGATGAGAACATGCAATGTAGCAAGGTATCTTCATGCTGTTTTCTTTGTATATTAGGATTATAACTGGGAAGTAACAAGATTGCAAATGACATCAATATTTAAGTCAATATATTTAGGACTAACCTTTCAAGGACTCAGACAAATCACCCTGGCTACACCAGCTATAAAGTTGACAGTTATTTTGAAAACCAGAATATCAAATTCAATCTGTGTATTTTCCAGACTGAGACTTAGTAATCACTGAAATTGTTTTCAATTGAAATTTATTTCATAAGGCTCTTGTTACCAGGTGGTGAAAGTCCAATTATTACTTCGTAACAAACTGGGCGGTGTATGAAATTAAACTGAACTAGACTATCTACAAAGACATACTCAGAATGGTAACAACTGTTATTTCTCTCAAACAAGTGGATTACAGAAAATATAATTTTTTAATTTAGTTATATATTTTAGGACATTGCATTTGAATTTAGCATCTTAAAATGATTACTCAATATTTCTTTTATATAGTTTATCTGATTCATTCAATAAAACTAAAGGTATTACTAAGCCTGAGTGAATCTCTATACTATTATTAAGTATGAGTAAGTCATAAATGCTTACCCTCCCAACTTCTACCCTCTCTCTCTATCCCTTCTCATTCAGCAATTCTTTTTTTCAATCCTCAGAAGTAAGAAATTAAATTCTTGACTGTAATACATCCTATATTCTAAGTGTTCTAGACCCTTTTTCCAAGCCCTTTATTATCCTGTCGGTGTTTCAGACAGCTTGAAATGGAGTGATTTGTCACAATAAAAAAAATTATCAAAGTATTTTTACTAACATAATGTAAACTCATTGCCAATAAAGACCCTCCATCTACAAAACATTGTATTGCCAATATGATAATTTCCTCCTTGGCTTCCAATATAATTGTGGGTTAGTTTGAATATCTAAAAGTACATTACTGTTAGTTTGGTCACATGCTATCAGAGAAACTAGGACAAGGTTAATTTTGTCAAAACGTATATTTTATGTAAATTTATGATAATTCATGTGAATATTTTTAAGTTAAATAAATGCATGTTAATTTAAGTAAATATATGATAATATATGCAAATTTATGTGGTATGGTGATTTTATCCAATTGTATACTGTAAAATACTTTATTTTTGCTTGGAATTAGTTTTCGCTATTTTCGCTGAAGAAATGATTCAGTGAAAATAAAATTCAGCAAATATACCTTTTTTCTTATATTTTACATTCAACTCATGAAAAATTTGTGAAAATAAATTCCATAAAAAAGTTTCTTCAGCGAAAATTAATTGCAGCTAAAATAAAGTATTTTACAGTAGGACATTATAATGAATGATACTTTGAGATGAGGGACTGTCTTCTTTGAGATTGGATATGTAGATGAATGAGTAAGAGTATTACATAACAAAAGAGTTACACACATTATCTTACAATAGTGAGTATTAATGATTCAGGATAAACAAAGTGAATTGCATAACTTTTCCACCAGTTTAAGTATAAAATATTAATAACCATAATAATGCAAGTCAAATTTCATTTGGCCAGACAGACTTACAAACTGTTGCAGGTGCAAATGACATCACAGTTACCATGGCAATATTCTCATTAACATATGCACAGTCATATTTGTGTTCCATAATAGCAACAATGACGTCTATTTTGACGGCTCTGACTTTTTTGTGTTCACTTTTCAAAGTACCTTGACAAATAAGCTACTTATAAGATTTTCTCCACAGTAGTTTTAAACCAATGTTCATATATTGAAGCTAGCCAACCATTATAACCAGCCTTCATACTAGCACAATTGATTACACAGTTGAAAAAAACAATAAATACTTTAGAGCTGTTTTATTTTAACTCATTCTGGTTGAACGGTACATTTAATAGTAAGCTTTTGAACATCTTAAAGTTCCACAATAATAATATTGTAACTTTAGTCTAGTTGCCATGACAATAACAAAGGTCATTCCTTTTTACCAAGCAAAACAATAATCAATCATTTGAAAACAAATAATTATTGATGAAGGTTGGACATTTATAAGTATCCTGTGGGGCTGTATCTGTCTTTTGAAATTAAAAAAATAGTGCTGAACCCTGAGTTTTAAAACTAGGGTAACTTTATTATACCATAATGAATAATGACAGTTTATCTTCAGATAAATAAGCTAGTGTATGATGGTAAAAAGCTAAGATTGAACACAATTGCTAAACCCGTTACATATTGATAAACATCATTTTTGTTTATAATTCATTGTTTTAACACCCTTGCTGTAAAATGATTCTGAAGGTCATATCAAGCATGTTGGTACTAAATGCTTGTGCCCAGTAGGGGTCTGTATAACGCTGTATTAATATTATTGAGATATGTAACTAATGGGATTTCTACCTACTTTTGTTTTCAGAGGTGTTGACAGTAGTTGTCTGACATTCTTTGCATGACACAGTATGTTTCTTATAATCACTTTTGTGTGAAATGTTATTAATTTTATTAATCCTGAAGAAATATTTTGATATAATGGTAATTTTTTCTGCCCTAGGAATCATTTTTAAATGGTTTAATTGGCTGTCTTTCAAGTGTCAAATATTAAACTTACGCTTGGTAGATATCTGCACATGGTGACATAATTGACAGTATTGTTGTTGTATTTTTATTTTTTTTAACTATTTCTTTGGAATCCTATAATTCCAAATTTGTATTTGTATTTTATTTGTATGATATTTTACATTTTACAGTTATACTTTTTTAATGCAAATTATTAACCATGTAATTCACTCTGTTTTTTAATGTACCTTATTAACCTAGGTAATTAACTCTTAATTTCCTCTCAGTACAACTGTGATTTAAAAGTTTACAATTCAAAATTGCATTTACTATATTGATATTGACTAGCATATTTTGTTTGTGATTTTCAGGAGACCGTTGGAGATCATTCTCAATGTCCACCGAATCAAGATCTGTTTATCCACTGCCTGATTTACTAGAGTTCCGGAATAGATCGCATTCTGAGGGAGAAGCTGCAAGACCAGAGATTGAAGTTGGCAGAGAATTGCGTCGCATTAGTGATGAATTTCACCATTCTTATCAAGAATGTAGGGTGAGTTCACTTTCACTTGTTAATGTTACAATTTGCAAGTGATTAATTACACATTAAATAGTCAAGAGGTCAGTTTTATGATACTTGATTTACGTACAGTAAAGCACATATCACTGTATATATATAGGATTCGGGGTTGCCATGCTTATCAGGTATTTTTATGGGTATATTAAGGGTGCTGTTTATCCACTTTGGGAATATAACCCACTTATGTTTATCATTTTGTAGGGTGAAAATAAACACAAGATATCTAATGAGTTACTCTGCAATATTAGATTTATTAAACAAATGTAGTATTTTTACTTGTTGTTGGTGAAGAACAAATGAAAATAGCTACACAAGTTCAATAAATCTTATATTGTGGGGTCACTAATTTGATATCCTTTTTGAGTCTTTGCAGTTAGTCTGTCTGCATGTGTGTCTGTCTGCATGTGTGTGTGTTTCTGTCTGTCCATTCCCTGATATCTCAAAAACGACATGTTGGTTTCGGAGTCATATTTCAGAACCTTGTGGACCAAATCTGTTTATTCTTTGCATGTGCCTAGTACTTTATCTGGGACATATGCACATGCAGTGGTTTACTGATTCAATCCAAGATGGATGACTGGCAGCTAATTGTTGGCTTTCTATGGATATCTCAATTACTAATTATATTTCAATGAAATTTAGTACATAGGTGCCCTGGGGCAAAGCACATACCTAATTTACATAATATGCATTTCAATGAATTTGGTACAGATGCCCAGGATAACCCGCAGACGTGATTAGTTTAATGTAGAAAATGATGTATATTGATTATCTAATTTTATTAACCAATATTTTATATTTCAAAAATTCTTATAAACTTTAATACTGTGGATCACATTGTTTTCATGTTGTTCATCTCTAATAGCAGACCAATATTAATCGCCAAGCCATATTAAATTTTGAATTAATTTTCAATATTATGAAACACTCTCAGCAAACGGAAATTCTTTCTAAGTTTTCTTTTATTTTTATTTTTTGTTAAGAATCGAACCAGGTAAAAAAAAATTTGTGTCTGTCCCTGCCACCAATAATATGAGAGATGGGTTGCTATATCTGTTACCTTTTTGTAATTTCTCAATTAGTTTCACTGAATACTGTCAAAACATGTGTTGTAGATTTTGACTCGTGTGTGCAAAGCACACAATGGGAGTTTTTGCAGTTAGTCTGTCTGTGTGTGTCCATCTGTTCCACTGATTTCTCAAGAACCGTATGTTGGTTTTTTTTTAAACTTGATGTACAGATGCTCTGGGCTAAATCGCATGTTTCATTAGGTTTTAGTTTAAATCCATACATATTAATTACCTAATTTGCATGATAATTAGCTAATTTTTAGCTGTTCAATGACTGTTCTACTGATATCTAAAGAACCATTCATTGGATTTTAATGGAACTTGCTACATAAATGCTCTAGGACAATGGTTTATGTTTTAATCCATGCATAATAATTACCTAATTTGCATAATGATTAGCTAATTTTCAGCTTTTTCACTGATATCTCAAGTACTAATCATCACATTACAATGATGCTTGATACATAGATGTCATAGGACAATGTACAGAGCTGATAAGTTTTGGAGTAATATCCTCACATATTAATTACCTAATTTGCATAATTATAAAATTTTTGCTTTTTGCTTTCCCGCTGATACTAAGCATTATGTTTCATTATGACGTGGTACATAGATGCTCTAGGACTTTGCACAAAACTGATTAGTTTTGGGTAAAAACCTGTGCATATTAATCACCTAATTTGCTTATTAATTAGCCAACTTGAAGCATTTTCACTTGTTTCTCATGTATTATTCAATATATTTCAATGAAATGGAGTATATAGATGTCTTGGAATATTGCATAGACCTGTTTTTGCTTACTAATGACTTAATAACTGTAATATCTTAAGTACTGCTGCAGATAACATGCAACTGGTGCTATAATGTTGTATGACCAAAATATCAAGTCATCATATATGGTCATTATTTCATTAAATATTTATAATTGTTAAACCATAGCTACTTGAAACCACCCTAATCATTGCTTGCAGTTATATTTTAAAATTTTTATTTTTAGATGCACATATGCACATGGGAATTCTTTTTGAGCTTTCTTTGATTTTAAAAGGTACCTGTAAATGTACTGCCCTCACAACTGAACTATATCATTTTTCAGATACATTTTGGTGATTTTAAAAATATATATCAAACAATGAATGTGATTTACTAATGTTGAGTTCTGTGTATGTATGTATTGCAGCCACTGTTCACTATGTTTTTGTCATCAAATTTTCTATTTTTAAATTCTCAGGCAAAATCAACCATCTTTGCATTGCAGATTGAGAAATAGACACCTTTTTCTGAGCTCAGATTAAGCAATCACCTGAGCCGCACATGCTATATATAGCTTTTCTGTGAAAAATTTGTTAATTTTCAAAAATACAAAAATTTACATATTTACATTGTATGAAATTCTAGACCAAAAACTGTCAAATTTGAAAGTGTTGTTGTTTTATTGAATGATATGTGTATGTCACAGGGTAATTATGTTTAAAATGGTTCTCTAATGTAACTTGGTCCAAGTTAACTTATCTAAGAGCACTCAGCTCAGTTTACAACTTGTAAGATGAGATGAATGCACTCATGTAATGAAAATGGTGATTTGATTTGATTTGATTTGAAATTTGATTTGAAATTTCAACTGTCTGTTGTCTTTCTTT